TCCCTGGAAACCATCCAGCTGGATGTCAGTGTCATGTGAGTGAGTCACCTTGTTGGATATGCACAGAACAGAGTGCTCCTAGATGCCTTTATGACAGTGCAGATTTCTCTGGGCAGTGGGAGCCAGAGAAAAGGGATGGAGCTGCTGTCAGGGGAGGGTACCATTAGCCCACAGGGGCAGCCTGATCTGACTTCTGAACACAAAGGGCATCTGGAGTTCTGAAAGCTGAGTTACTTGTCACTTTTGAGACTTAGTGTACTCCTCTGTAAAATGGGGGTGGGCATCCTTCCCCCATAGAATTCTTGTGGAGATTTGAAGAACTAGCACTGTATTAAATACCTAATAATTATTAGGTGTGTCATGTTGAGGGACCCCGACATCTCCCATCCCTGCCTCTCATTACTACCCAAGGGCATGTTCTATTTATTTTGTTTCAGGACATTCTTTTGAAAAACCTACATGATCACAGTCATTCTTTTTTCTCAATGGATTTTTGTATTGTGTCTCCTCCTCCAGTAAGGACAACTAAAATGAATTCATTTCTTGATTTCCTTGACATCAATGCTGAATTATACATGGGGATCCTATCACTATGGACTAATAAAAATAACAATAATTACAGAAGTGGGTGTTTAGCCTAGCAGTTAAGACTCCCAGGCAGGTTCCGTACCAGAGTGCTCCTGACTCCAGCTTTCTGCTAAAACACATCCTGGAAGGTAGTGGTGCTGGCTCAGGGAATTAGGCTCCTGCCGCTTGTAGGAGAGCTAGATCTAGAGATCGAGGTTCTGGTTTCAAGCATCTGGCTTCTATCTGGCCCACATCAAAACAGCATTGTGGATCACCCACGTGGGCATTTGTGAAGTGAAACTGTGGAAGAGATTCTTTCTCTCTCTGTCTATCCCCTTCTCTTTCCTCTCTGCCTCTCAACTCAATAAACTAAAAATGTTTAAATGACAAAAATAAGTACATATCAAAAGTTCTTCAAAAAATTCATAGAGGTGCTGGCACTTTGGCATAACTGGTTAAACTGCCACTTGCAATACCAGCAGCCCATATAAGTGCCAGCTGCTGCACTTTTGATCCAGTTACTAATACATCTGAGAAACCAATGGATAATGGCCCACATACTTTGGCCCCTGCCATCCATGAAAGAGACCCAGATGGTGCACCAGGCTGATGGCTTCAGCATGGTCCAACCTTGGCCATTGTAGTCATTTGGGGAGTGAAACAGTGGATGGCAAATCTCTCTCTGTGCAATTCTGTCTTTCAAATAATCCAGTCTTTTTAAATTTATCAAAAGTGGAGTTAAGAGATAAGTTTATTTTAATGCAAAAATATGTGAAAACCATACCATACATTTGAAGCATCTGGAAAGTTCATGAAAAACATGAATTCTTTTAAAAATAGGCATAGACTACAAAAAGTTTTAGTTTCTGGAGGAAAATAAGACTGCAACATGAACATTTCTAATCTGTTTATCTTATTTATTTGAGATGCAGAGAGAGAGAGAAACATAGATATCTTTCACTTACTGGTTCACTCCCCAAATCCGATGGCCAGGAGTGCATGTGCTAGGCTGAAACTGGGAGCCCACTTAGCCTGAGTCTCCACATGGGTGTCAGGGCCCCAAGTAATTGAGTCATCACCTGCTACTTCCAGGATGTTATCTGCAGGAAGCTGGTTTGGGGAATGGAGCTGAGACACAAATCAGGTGCTGTGATAAGGAGCACAATATGCTGAAGAGTATCTTAAGCGCTGTGCTAAACGCCTTGGGTTGTTCCTAACAGCAAATTTGTCCATATCTGTTTTTCAACAGCATGTTTCTAATGTCCAAAATATCAGATTAATTATTTTCATTCCAAATACACCTTTTCCTCTACCTGTGACTGAAGATTTTAAAGGTATTTTTCAAAAGGACCATTTCCTTAAGAATCATGCCCCTTCATGTATGTTCTGTGGGACGAGAATTTCCAGGATTCCTTTTGAAACTTACATATGTGGATGAATCTCACTGAACGATGTTAGTATTCCTCTAGAAAGAAATTTCTGCCTCTGGTAACATTGTCAGGTAACATTTACAATGTAGGTAATGTGCCTGTATTATTGACATCTGGAAAATTGAGTTCCTCCGGTCTCCATTCCTCAAGTGGATGAGACTTTTCTAAGACCCTGTGGCTACCCTAATGCCTTGAGAAGCCATTGGTAGGTTGTAAGCAGAGGAGAGACCTGGTGTGACTTAGGTGTGGAGATGACACTCCACTGCATTTACAGCACAATGTAGGGCAGATGAAGTAGAAGCTGGAAGAGCAGTTGGGAATCTGTTGCCATGATCTTAGGTGAGATAGTAGTGATTTGGACCAGATGAATGACAAAGGACATAGCTGAATTATGTCTGCATTTTAAAAAGTGGTCCAGAAGGACACCCTGAGGTTTTAAATGTGAAGTGTATGAGGAGAAAAACAGCTAAGGATGACCACAAGATTTTTGGCTTGACATCAACTAAGACAGGGAATGGTGCAGAAATAGTCAATTTGAGGAGTAGATGAGGAATTCACTTTTGGATACTTTGAGTATGAATTTTCCATTAGACATTTAATCAGGCAACTGGTTGCACAAGTTTGGGTGCCAAGAGAGAGGACTGATCCAGTGCTGAATGCTCCATCTGTGGCCCTGGGTGTTTATAAGGGGCTTAGGGCAATAGGAAGCTCATGGGATGATACGAAGCAATGGTCATGTTTATCGAGTTCCTTCTCCTCCTTGACCACTAATCATTCCAGTTATCCAAATTGACCATATAGGTCTAACATTGCTTATTAGATGTAGTGACAGTCTAGCCTTCACAAGGCAAAGACCTTCACAAGCTAATCCTTTTCACCTTTTTGGACTTTTCACTGCCTACCACTTCTGGAATAGATTTGATGATAGTAATTCCCCATGTTTTTGTTGTGTTTTGAGAATATATTGTAGGTATTAAGACAATCAGATGTCAAAATTAATATGTGCACATCGGTATAATTTTGAAAAATGCCGTTTAAGTAAAACAATATTTAGCAATAAGGGAATTCATATGTAAATGATGGTTAAGAGAGTCAGTTCCAACCTTGAAATGAATTTTAACTGTGTATCACTTTGGGTATCTAATTTTTTTTTTTGAGTCGCAGTTTGTCATCTGTAAAACCAAGACCAGGTGTGGATTATGAAGAATACCAAATGAAATAATAATTGTAAAACATTTACAGTTATTCCAGACATGTAATATGTTCTTATAGTTGTCAGAGGCAACATGGCTTTACATATCCTATGGACTTTTTACGAAGGCCAAATACTCTGTATGCCTCTTTACATTTAGAAAACACAGTCTCAAAGCATTAGCCCAAAAGAAGGAAAAGAGAAGAATCCAATCCAACCTGCTATTGGTGCTTCTTTCCCCTCCCAACTTCCCCACTTAGTACCTAGTCCATATTAGGTAATTAACAAACTGAATTATCTCAGTTGGTCAAGTTTAATTGACATAAAAGAAAAAATACTAAATGTGCTTTTTCTCCCTTATGTTAAGTGTGCATATTTTTAAAGTGTAATCCTTTGGGGAAAAAAACAGAATATATTTACTGTAGAAAAATGCATATTCTGTAACTTATTAATTTGGGAGATAAAAGATAGCCTCTATGGCAAGAAGGTGGAAAAGAAGTGGTATTACCAGATGATAGCAAAGAGATAATGCACATGTTACAGCATAAAGAAAAAATTCTTTTAACCTCCTTATCTAAAACAACACTGTGAGCTTTAAGCCTTGCTAAATTGGTGGGTGGAATAAAAAAAAAGAGTCTCCTCCGGTATGATAGCTCCGAGTGAAAATCAATGGTCAACTCCCTGGAAGCATCCCAGGAAAGCAGAAATGTCTGGAACCTGGGACATGTAGAAGCTTTATTGGTCCTCCTGCGAGTTGGAGGAAATGCTTTGAAAATATTTCAGACCTTTTAGAAGCAGATTTGCACACAACATAATGGCTCTTTAATCCTTACATCCCAGAGTTGCCAAAGTAATAGCCTATCAGCATGGATAAAAATGCCTAATGAGTCAGCCAGTGACTGGCATTATCAGTGTGCTTTCTTTCCATGGGGACTTCTAGTAAGATATTTGTATTCTGCCTTATTTTTCTAAATGATTGAATCTCTTCAGTGATGTTTGGGGGTGACCTGAATGTATTCTTTTTACCTGTTACTACCTAAATTCCCTGAGATAATCTACACCTTCACCTTTCTCTACTTTCTTGCCTGTAATAATCACATCTCTCTCCTTCCCATTCATTTACACTGTCTTAAATCCTAAAATAGAGATGTTCTTAACACAATAGCTATTCCTGTGAGGACACCTATATGATTTATTATGAAATAATAAATTTTCTCTCAAATGCTAAGAAATACCCTAACATAAATATCTCTATTAATATGGATATTTTCTTAAAAGTTGGAGAGATGTTCAGAAAGGCTATGGAATCTGTTTCAGAATCATTTCACAATCCTCACAAGAAAATTGCTGCTCTCCAGTGAAGCTTCCCATTTTATCCAGATTAGTATTACCTAATTTACAAGACCTCATGGCAGATTTCCTTTGATGGTTTCCATAGTCCACAGCAGTCTGTTAGAGGATCAAAATGTATCCTAGTAAGGATTTTCAAATATATGCAGAACATGTCCTGCAAATGATTCTGAAGGACAAAATACAAAGCTGATTCTCAGTAATGGCAGCATAATTAAAATAAGTATGTAATTCCCAAGTATTTTAGAAGAATAATCTCTCTTGCAGACAAGTAAATTTTCTTATTTCTGAGAATAAGTTGAATTTATTATTTTAAAGTCACTTCCAAGAGCCAATTCAAAAGTTCTGTTACCTAAACTATATTCTAGTACAATGTGGTCCTAAAACTTGTAATCCATATGTTTGTGGAAAGTATGGAAAATATTATATTCATCATAATATGTCTGTCTTATCTTCTCTAGGACTATACTTGACAAGAAGGAGCTGCTGGAATTTGCTCAGCTTGGCTGTTACTTGGAATATGATCTCTTTGGTACTGAAGTCCTTAATTACCAATTCAACCCAGATATTGACATGCCTGATGATAACAAAAGAATTAGAAGGTAAATATGATGAAATCTCTCATGGAATTTCCTTTTGCCAGCCCTTTTTGATTGCCATATCTGGGTGAGTATTAGCAAAGATTCAGAAAACAGTAAGCAGACTGAACCACAGACTTACAGTATATCTATGCTGTTTCCAAGAGAAAATCTCTATATATTATTTCCAGGAGAAAATGAGTCATCCTAAGTAGGCTAAAGCTTAGCAGAGCCTTACAAGTTCAGTGCAGATGTGCAGCTGACAAGATACACAGATAATACTCAGCCCCTGCCTTGAGAATAAGAGAACAAAAGACATTTTCTTCCTTTTACCCCAAATAAAATGAGTTGACCACAGGAAAGTCTTAACTTCCTACAAGTAGTATTTGAAATTCTTTAGTTAAAGCACTCATTGCAAGTAATTGTGGTTTAAACGCTTAAAGTATGACATCCCCAGACCAAACAGTATACAGAATACAACTTCCAAAAATTGTGTAATTTGTGCTGGGAGCGAACAATTATAGGAACCATTCACTCAATCAAGTGGGATGTTTTAGGAATCTAAGATGGCTACCTGGCTTAGTATTGGTCATATGGTTATATGATGATTTAATGAATCAGGTTAGAGAATATCAGCATATAAATACACTTGGGATTGACATGTGAGACAGCTCAGGAATATTTAAGTGTGGCTATCCAGTGGGACCCTAACATAACAGAATGAAGCTCACAGCAGAAATTTGAGCTGAGACATAAATCTAGGCACTGTCAATTCGTATGCAATCATTTAAACCATGGAAATGAATGAGACCACTCAGAAAAGAGGATGAGGACAGAGGACCTGGGGACACAGAATGTAAGAGATGGCATCAGGATTAATTACTCAAAGAAAGGTCAAGAAGTTTTCCAAGTGGTAATATCAGAGGAAGATGTTTTCATGGGAGGAATGTATAATACAGAATGACTTGACATTTCTAACATATAGTTAAAAAAAAAAAGAAAGAAATTAAGCAATGTAGACTGAAAAGAGACTATTGGATTCCATGATTAGGAAGCTGTCATTTCATTAGAGGAATGAGAAAGAGATGAGGAAGAGGAAGACATGCGACAATAGGTGGAAGTAGGGAGGTAGAACAGAAGCTGGAAGACAACACAGGGACAAAGGATGCTCTCATTAAGAATTGAATAGATGATGTGGCTAAGAGCCCAAGATGAAAAGGGCAGACAGAATACCTACAGGAAAACAGTGCCATCCCAGCTTGCTTCTACTACATTTATATAAAATCAAGCATGCAACATTTTTATCTGAGTGTTCAATAGAGATTGACTTTAAGAAGTCTGAAATGATAAGAAATACAGGGCAAGGCTCCTAAGGGAATGCTTCTAGATGGAATCTGGGAAGCAGATACAAAGGTGGCTAGAAAGATGCTTTCTCCATTGAAAGGAGGGTACACAAAGCAAGCAGTGGTGTGAATGCTAATAAATGCCTGGGTGAGAGGCACAGGAAACACACAGCATGTGTTCTCTGGTGTCCTTGTGAGGCTGACCTGGCAGTGGGTTCAGAGAAGGAACTTGTGGAAGAGTAGGAAGGCTAGAGATGACTGTCAAGTCTATGAGAGAGTTACTGATAGAGCATGTGTGAGAGACTCAGCTCAGACTGGAAGTCACAACTGCCAGACATTATGTTGGCACTGATCCTCATGATTTGGTGATTGTTTTACCAAATAATATTGTTGGGTAGAAGTAGAAACTGCACTCAGAAAGAGCTAGGATTGGGATTTTATCTGAAAGATATGGTTGATAGACAGGGGAGTAGAGGAGAGGATTAAGATTAGCAGAGAAGAGGGAGACAGGAAAGAAGAGAGAGGAATAGGCAGATATTTGGGAATGACATACAGGGAAGATAACTGGAAGGTTTAATGAAGGGAAGTTAGAAGCAGTTGAGTGGGAAAAGTAGAAAGAAGTGACATAATCAGAAAGGAGTACTGGAGATTGGGATTTCAGTGGAGGAGTTGTCCATAATGACAAGGCCTGGAATTTGGAATGGGACTCAACAAAACTGAAACTGAGTAGTGATATTTGGAAACCATGAGGCTCACACATCACTGGCTAAATGTACACACAATCTTGTGGGGGAAAGAAGATCTCAAACCAAGGTCACTAGAGGAGCATCCTGAGAACTGACTCTTGCCCTGTGTCTGAACTTTTCTGTCACTGGGCCTTATGCTGCTCTTGTGACTTGAAATTCCTCTTGAGGACTTCATTAACAGTAAAATCTCATTAGAGAGAGCCACTCCATACATGTTCCACTAGTTATGGGAGGCCAGTGGGGATTCAACTGTTCCTGAGCAAACTGCCTCAACGGACTTGACCAATGGAGCTGGATCTTATTTTGTGGTTTTGTTCATTGAAAAGCAGATTTATTATTTCCATTTTGTTTGTCTCCTTTGCTTTATGATCTTAATGCATTTGCTTTAGGGGTACCATACGGTACCTACTAGTTTGTGCCATACTCAGAAGCAACTGTTCCTTGTCATTAGGCAGCTGGAATTTGAAAGGGGATGATAAGATTGGTCTTTCTCATCTCTCATGATCTCAAAAATATGCTTTATTCATGAGTGCCCATAGGACATATTTTTGGAAAAGATTTTATTTTTATTGGAAAGGTAGATTTATAGTGCCCACATGGCCGCAGCCCAGTTGATCCGAAGCCAGGAGCCAGTAGCTTCTTCCAGGTCTCCTACACATGTGCAAGGGTCTAAGGTTTTGGGCCATCCTTTTGCTGCTTTCCCAGGCCATAAGCAGGGATCTGGAAGGGAAGTGGAGCAGCTGGGATATGAACCAGCACACATATGGGAACCCAAAACATGCAAGGTGAGCACTTAGCCACTGAGGCACTGCATTGGGTCCCACAACATACATTTTGGAAGTTGGAGTGTGCATTCAGGATCTGCTTCCTTTTTCGAAGCCCCTGGATGGCAGTGAGCTGTATCTTTTACATTCCTGTGCTTTCTTGTGAAGCTCCCAGACCTTGTGGAACAAGAGAAAAGGGAATCTCTGAAGAAGAATCTATAAAGGAAGCATGGGAGGGGTGATTAGTGGCTCCCCTAGCATTTCTCAGTGCCTTCTGGCAATTAGTTCAAGAACAAGACTGTCATTTTAGTCATTTTTAAGATTTTGCAAAATGTAAATATCCTATCTGTATTGCAGTACATTAAAATTATGCATATAATATGTGCATGTGTATATGATGTGCATTATTATATGTGTATCTATGTATATGTGTGTGTACAAATATGCTTAATCCTACTTAAGTCTCAGCCGTGCCTTGGCTCACTGTCCCACAGGCCCTGCGACTTGGTTTTCGTCATTCATCTACAGTCCATTTCTGAGCCGTAGTAATCCTGCAGCAGTGGAGCACAAGAACAGGGAAGCAGGCTTCTGCCTACCTCTGGTTTTCAGCACCAGAAATTGTGCGTCTAACACCTGTTTTCAATCTTATGCTCCATTTCTCAAATCTTATTATATCTCTGCCTTTTCACACTTTGTAGTCGCTCTCTAATATTTGTTTGCAAAACATTAACTCATTTGTAATGCTATAATTACCATGGCTTTTTGTCTTTTCATCTGTAGTGGTTCCTCCCTTCTGGCAGCATCTCTGTAACTCTTGTGCTTCTAAACTATGGCACATTATGCGAGAGAATCTCTTGGAGTGTGTACAATTAAGTATGATTCCTTTATAGTCAGGATGTAATTGTGTTTCTGGAGCCATCATAGTATGTTTCTCATGGATCGCTAACCTCCAGATACTTGACGTAGTGAGTTTTAAGTGTTCTTGTTCTTCAATAAGGGCATTTCATCCCTTATATTCTTCCCTCATTGCTTCACGGATGACTATGTGTTTCAAGATGTACCAAAGATCTTAGAGAAATATGCATAAATGCCTTTATGGGAATGAGATGACACAATTATCAGCGAAAGAGAAGAGACTGAAAACTTTGGAATATGCTCAGAAAAACCCAGAGGCTCCCAGGCTGTGACATTCCTTTGAGATTGTGGGTCAATGTTTGTCATACTAAGGTTCCGTGAGATTCACGCACTTAGTCAAATCTCTTCTCAAAATTGATCATCGACTGCTGTTGGATAATTCATTTGAATTTGTTCCTAAGTGCAGAAGTTTAAGGCATTGTGTGTATTTCAGGGCACCAGTTATTTCGGTGACCCTGGTAGCGTCGTATGCACATCTGCACCAGGCATAGGACACACGTGGCATGAGTGCTGGCTTCCGGACAAAGCACCGGCCTTGGCTCTTCTGCTCCAGAATGCGGTCCCTTTGGCCTGCAAGCGCCAGGTCTAATCTTCAGTTCTAATTCTTCATAAAGGATATGTTCTTAGAGGGCAGAGCTTTGTGCTGGAGTGATTCTGTGAGTCGTGTCTCACATTTGGCCAACCATGGTAGCTATTAAATATGACTCATACACTAGAATGCCAAGAGATGCTATTGAAACAATTAGGATAGCTTTCAAATAATCAAGCCCTGGAGGAAAGCACCATTCTTCCCTCTAGATCTACTTGGAATGTAGACATTAACAAGAATGCACAAAGAATCTCAGATCAGATCTATTGTCGCAAATTGCTTCTTCTGCCATCAGAGACCAGTGGGAGTCAGGACAGACACTGCCCAGTGTCCAGACACATAAGGATGGTGACTGTCAGAAGGTGACTCACAGAGCAAATTATAGAATTTAACAAAACATAGAGGACTGCACTTTTACACAATAATCAGGGAACTGTTCTTTAGTGAATTTAGACCATGAAAAGCCATGAATTTAAAGAAAAAGCTGATTATTTCAGCAAATTTGTTGACATAGATGGAAGTGAGAGTTGATTTTAATTGGTCGGAGTCCAGCACAATGGCTCGATTGGTTAATCCTCGCTCTTCAAGCACTAGAACCCCATACGGTGGCTGGTTGGTGTCCTGGCTGCTCCACTCCCCATCCAACTCTGCTTGTAGCCTGGAAAAGCAGTAGAGGATAGCTCAAAGCCTTGGGACCCTGTAGCTGCATGGGAGGCCTGGAAGAGGCTCTGGGCTCATGGTTTCAGATTGGCTCAACCCTGGCTGTTGTGGTCCCTTGAGGTGTGAAACAACAGATGAAAGATCTTTCTCTCTGAAAATCTGCCTTTCCAATAAAAATAAACAAATCTCAATAAAAAAAATCATTGATCAAGTTAAACTGATACTCAGATTCTACTACTAATTTCCTGAGATTTCAAAAGGACAAATATTCAAATCACAAACATCCCCTGTCAGCTTTTCCCCAAAGACAGCAGAGCTGCTTAGCACGCAACTTCATTTTGCAAACCAACTGTTTTCTGTGTTTGTTTTTGTTTTGCTCTCAGAGCATTTGACTGGCAGGAAGATTCCTTTTGGTTTTTACTATTATAAGCACAAATATCTGTCAGATTTTTTTTTCTGCTGGATAAAAGGGGAGAGTAAGAATAACATCTGAAAAATGGGCCCACCATGAGAGGCATTTTAGAGAGAAGAGAGCTGAATATAAATCCAGAAGTTATTTAAGTGAGATGCTGGAGTGGTCTTTCGTTTCAGCTGGCACATCCTCTCACAAGCTATCTTTCATGCAGTTTCCAGGCATTGTCATTAACATCACAGATTAGAAATTTCTGCGTGCACAGAATAGTGATCGTGTTCCTAGTAGGATGCAGTAATATCTTTATCATCACCACACAAAGTTTATTAAGGGTCTCTCAGTACACGGGCCACAGGGGCAGGCAGTATCTTCATGACAAAGCACAAGGGGTTCATGAGTGAAAAGTTGAAAGTACCCAGAAAATCCGAAATGTGAGATGAATGCCATATAATGAGTTAACATTTGCCACAGGGTGCGTCTCCTGGTGGAAGAGGGCTATGAAGAGCGAATCCTGGTGGCCCACGACATACATACCAAGCATCGGCTGATGAAATACGGAGGTCACGGCTATTCTCACATACTCACAAACATTGTTCCCAAAATGTTACTTAGAGGTATCACTGAGAAAGCACTTGATAAGATACTGATAGAGAACCCTAAGCGATGGCTGACTTTCAAGTAGGATGGTTACTGACGAGTTCAAACTGTGAGTGCAAAACTTGGAGAGAGAACACTGAGTGATTTCAGATCCACTGTGAGATATTAATCAGAGCTATACAGGACTAATGACTGATTATCTCCTTCTTTGGAAAAGAGTTTGCCTTCTCTGAAACTGGTTAACTCTGACACCTGTGTTTTCCCTTAGCAAAGGAAATAAAAAAGGAACCTATTTGTAGAAGATGATTCAAAGTCTGTATATCCTAAATGGAGTTTGTGTTTCTGCCCCCCCCACCCCTCTGCACGATCTATCAGCTGCATTACTTGAGAAAATTGTTGATGCTTCTAGTTAAATTACCCCTTTCTGGAGCAGTGTAATGTTTCTTGTAATGTTGATGATTCCACTAATTATCCTACTGTTCTTTAAGTAATGCTTAATGAGTAATATGGCACTTTAAAATAGCTTTTTCCACAAGGGAAGTTAAATTTTCAGATTCCCCTCCATTCAAGGTACTGTAGTATAATTACAAGTTCACAACAATAAAAATATTTTGGAAGATAAATTATATGCTATCAAGCCTTCTTCTTATACTAAAACAGTTTTGATGCTTTTGGGTTTCCGGTATCCACTTTGGCTGTAGATTTAGTTGTATTTTACAAAGTTTATATAAGAATGCATAACAGGTGCCAGTACTGTGGCATAGTAGGCAAACCTGCCAGCTGCAACACTGGAATCACATATGGATGCCCAGGCTGTTCCATTTCCAATCCAGCTTCCTGGCTAAAAAAAAAAAAAAAAAAAAGAAAGAAAGAAAGAAAGAAAAAAAAAAACACCTTGGAAAAACTGCAGAGGATCGCCCCATAGCCTGGGCCCCTGTCACCCACTTTGGAAGCCTAGAAGAAACTCCTCCTGGCTCTTGGCTTCAGGTTGGCCCAGCCCCAGCTACTGTAGCCTTCTAGGGAGCAAATCAGTGAGGGGAAGATTTCTCCCCCTCTCTCTCTCTGTCTGTCTTTCCCTCTCTCTGTCTAACTCTTTCTAAATAAATAAATAAAACAAATCACAGAACTGAATCACAGAAATCCAATCATTAAATTCAAAATATATTACATAAGATAGTTTAATGAATCATTACATTTATAATAACAAAGGCCACAATTTAATTAATTCATAAGAGAAAATGCAAAAAAGATAAATGGTTTCCATATATATATGTATATTCCATATATATATATATATATATATATATATATTCCCTTTATTTCTTTCACCTTTTATTTGTGTTTTCCTTGGGCCTTAGCAGAGAAAATAATGCTGATTTATCTAAAGAAAAGGTCAGATCTACTGGAAATGACAGTCCAATTCTACAGCATACTCCGTAAAAGGTATCAAGCCCTGATATTTTATGTAAATAAAGTGTTTTTTTAAAGTCTCACTCAAAACCCTCAGTTGATAACCGCTACTGTTAATAATTAATCTTTTAACTGAATGCCCACCCTGTTGTCTGATACCTTAAAAACAATATCAAAACCTTTGCTGCCAGTTCGTCTTTGAAAAATATACATTGTTAAACCAAAATAAGATCCACTGCAATTCACTTATGAATTCTTACCTATCTGGAAGGCGAATAATCATTATTCTTGATGCATGAGCTAAGTGTAATCAGAAATCACACCAGTTGCTCCAACTGAGGCATTTCAATAACAAACAACACCTTCAGCTGGGAACACCGTGCACAACTCTTGGAAAGCTGAAATTTGCTAAATGAAAGATATCTCAGCTGATCAACAATGATAAGCTTTCTGTGTATTAGAACAGAAAGTTCCAAAGAGGAATGAGCCAGGAGAACTAACCAATTTCTTTAAATGAAAAAATGCAAAATATCCTTCACCAGTTAACAAGCAGATTTTTAAATCTCTGTTTTTGAAATCTACTTGTCAAAGTGTCTTCAAAGGCAACTGAAAGGGGGAACAGATTTTTCAGTGTAACTGGATGTTGCATGATAGGACATATCAACATGCAGTTTTAATCTTTTCCTCAGATTAAAAAGATGTCTTTTGGCAGTGCATTTTAACTAGAGAGGAAGGATTTGCAAGACTCTCAAAATTTGCTTTGCTGTCAGCTTCAATTCACCTGAGAAAAAAGAAAACAATGATATCTGAAATGTGTATAACTCATGGATGTTGCAAAGGAGAGCCACTTCACTTCTGCAGTCCTGACATGACCACACTCCCACAGAAGGCAGTGACTGTACCGACTGGCATTTGGTCAGAAAGCAGCCATCGCCTGAACTTTCACACACATGACATGTAGGGCATCCCAGCCTAAGAAGATGTAATTTTCTGGATAACTTGAAGAGAAATCATATTAATTATTTTACAACTTCATATATTTTGATCATCCAAACTGTATTTCAACCCCCAAATAAATCAGATGATATATGCATATGTGTGTACACATACACAGACCTTTTGAAATTAAATTTTTGAGGGGCATATAGCCATTGTGTCTTATTTTCACTAAAGCTATACATACATATATATAATTTCATCATATATATGTATCTAGATGTGTTTGGGGAAGAGGTATTTGTATAAAATGTATACATTTTGTTGTCATACTGGTTATATATGAAATTGTATTAATTTTGAAATAATTTTGGAGTAACTGCTTGCAGGCCTTACTTAGTGTCCCCTTGGTGATGCATGCAGTAGCTCAAATTAAACCTTTGTGCATTGGGTGATGAATAATCTTTTATTCCAAAGAAGGCAAAAGCCTTAGTCTGATTTAATACCAAAGAATAAATTTTTCTGACTTTCCACGTAAATCTAAATGTATTCTATTGACAAAATGGACACATAGGGAATTTTCTAAATACTGGACATAATTACACATTTTTCACACTTAGAGGGTAGTCCTATGATACAATTCCAGTGTCTATTTTTAGGAACTATCACCAGAAAAGAAAATTGATAAGAGAAAGAAAATGTGAAAATGAGCATAGGCTTGGGGATTCCCCCATATCCAGAAAGTTCCAGGTTAAGGCTTGAAGTTGAATCATTTCCAGGTCTAGGTCTAAAGTCTACAAGAGTACAAGGCAAACAATTTCTTTGGGAACAAGCAGCATCATTTCAACTAGACCTTCTCCTGTAGGGTGAAAGCATTCCTCCCCACACTATGAATACACTCCAGGGATCATCATAAGCAAGGAAACTCACAAGAATGAAAGCTGACACATGGATCAAAGCAGCACGATCACAGTACACCAAGGTATCCTATATATGGAAGAAATAATTCAGTGTCTTAGATTTCTCTATAAAAATGTGTGATCTATATAGGACTTCATTCACATGGACACTAACAATAAGGAGTATTTGCTTTGGCGGTAGTGGATCACACATCTGCTTATCTTGCTTTAAATATTTTTTTTTTTTTACATAATGTTTCTGAGCGATACAGATGTGAGTCAGGTAGCATTGGATTTCCCCACATATACACAACTGAGGTGCCTTGCCATCGGCATCCCCTGGGATCCTTGATTCACTGACGTTAGCCACACGAATCCAGTGTCCAAACTCAGAATAATGAACTTAGTTTCTGCATTATCAGTCAGCATAAATAATAAATCCAGAAAACGTGCTGTATTTGTTGTTGTTTCCTCCATGGGCTTTCCCACCATCTAATTTGATATAGACTTCATCTCCTGGCTCCAGGTGAAGAACCACACTGTTACTGGCATAGTCGTAATTTTGATCAGCATCTTGTGCAATTGCGCTAGCTCGCACCTATGTAAAACAGACAAGAATTAGAGTTGGTGAAAAGAGACTTCCTTTTTTTTTTTTAATCATCTACACATCATCTGCTGTAACATGGAATTTAGCAAAGGGAGGCCCATCTTGCCTCCAAGGTAGAGAAGGAATATCTGCAGTACTTTCAGTGGTGAAAAGAGTGCAGAAATTAGTTCCTTAGTTAAGGGCATTACAGCAGTTTTCCCCTAACTGTGCATCATAAACAAGTCATACCAATTCATACTCTTTCTAGCTCACTACTTTTTCTAATTCCTTGAATCCCTATACCAAGTCACTTTTTGCAATGGAATGCATTGCAGTATTTTACATTTTAATGTAAGCCAAATAGCAGTATTCTAAGTGGCTGGTTTTGAGTACAGAATTTCATGTCTAACAACTGTTAGCCATCACAATTATTTTTTTTAAAATGAGATCTATAGTAAGTAAAGAGCCAGGAAGATACCACGACTGTACAGCAAGAGAAAGGGAAGAACCCCCTTAATTTAACGCTTTCAACATCTAAACCAAGCTCCCTTTAGCAGGCTACTTTAGAAGCTTAACTCATGTAAAACATCTTTGATAATCACTCTAGTTGTCAGAGTTCTTTATGTTGTTAGTACCTTTTCATCACGTAATTATTGTGTACCCTTGCCAATCATTTAATTTGAATATATCTGAAACTTTCAGAAGAATCTAAATGTCCATGATTTGAGGTCTCAGATTTCAACATTTTTTCGATGACATTCTTCAGCAGCTTTTTGTATCGAGATGATTCTAAACGTGTGGGTTCTTTTGAGGATGGGAATTGTTTATAATCTGCTCCTGTTGAGCCTGGGGTCTCATTAGTGAGTTGATAGACATTTGCAAACAGTCAAATTGCCTATCATATCCTGGAATACAGACTTTGTGTCACATCCTCAACTCAAATTAGGTTTCATATTCATTTAGATATATTGGGATTCTGCCTTGGAAAATCTTCCAATAGGCAGACTTGCATTTGATTTATTTCAGTGACACATCTTCTACTTTGTGGCTTGTTTCTATTCCACTATAATGATATTTCCCCTGAATAACATAGTGAGTGATTTAGTGGTTTGGTAAATCTGCACTATGTAATAATGCATGACTCGGGGTACAATATGCTGGGTTTTATCACTTGGCAAAATGAAGGAAATGAGACATAAGTCAAGAATTCCCATGCACTTCTTTTCAAAATTTAAATGATAGGTTTTCAAATTAAATTTTCATGTGATACGTTCTCACATTAATGCTGAAATGTTCAGAAAGGAGAAGGCTCTTTGACACCGCTGAACTTGTAACCTGAGTGGTATTTTAAAAATTTCTTTTGGATATCATGCAACAAAGGGAGAAGAGGACTTAAAAGGATTTACAATTGCTTCACAGCGTGTTAATGGGTACTAATTGAATGGAAGCAATATACCATGTAATTATGTTAAGAAGCTTCAACTCAAATGTATACACCATCAGTGAGATAATCTGTTTTGAACATTAAATAAAAATACAACAGGATTTCATAATATTTCCCAGGAATTAATTATTAGCTTGTAAGAACTAAATGCTTTCATTCACTAATGTCATCGAAGTTACTCATTGCAGGAGAAAACAACCCATACAAGGACACTGCTGTTAGGACCTGAAACGTTTTCAATGAGTAAATTTTTAAAAGATGAGAAAAATCAAAACAAAATAGTAATTATCTATATTACTAATGCTTCAATTTTCAACCCATAACATATATCCCTGATTTTATTAATAACCAGATACATATTTTATTTGGTGTGTTGGGTATTTTAATATATGTTCTGTGTGCAGTGAGTTTTCATCTTGCTTTTTTTCATGAAGGTATTGGAAAGCCTGAACACATTAAAATCCCTGGATTTAAAATTAGTAATCTTCAAGAACGTATAGTACAATTTTTATTCTGTAAGGTGTCATCAAAAAGCCAAATAGATGTTACCACTTGAATTGAGTAGGTGTAACCACAGAAGCCCTGCAGGTGCCTTTGGAATGACTCCACAGGCCAGAGTCCCCTTGTTCCGTGGATAAAGCCAGTGTGATTGTTTTGCAATGGAAGTAACTGTTTAAGATTTTAGCTTATACTGTATCATAACATTTTCCCAACTAATTAATTGCCACAGTCTAGTGTACTTTTCCATGAAATGAGTTTGCTTGTTCACTGATCACACACCCTACAGGTATAACGGGATTTCCAAGTTCAAGCTCTTACAGTGTAGCTCAGTGACTTCCACAAATCTTCCTTTAAGGCATCACACTTTTGAGGAAGGTAATGGGTTCACCCTGGTGGCTATTTTTAGTTTCCTAAATGTACACCGATTTTGGCATTTTAGCTGAGACTATGGGCATCCTTTTCTCAGCCCCACATACCCCTTTCTACCTCTACATTTGTATCAGTATTTTTTTTAATTCTAAGTTAACTATTTAAAGTCTGTCTTATCTTTAGTTCATGTTTCTCTGCCCCTGCAAAAATAGTTAATTTGACAAGCAACTAATCTCTCAAATAAATGAACATCAACCCACAATGTACTCATTCTTTCCAACATATTTTAGGTTCACTGGTGCTATAACTAATACACTCTTAAAAGAAAAAATGACCTTTAATTATTTTATAGATCTAATTCTGAGACAATTAAAAAGTTTTTTTAAATATAGTGACCTATTCTAATGATATTACAGCAACTGTGTTGAAATACTATTTCAGATTTTCTACTGAAGTTTACAAATATTACAAATATTTCCTTTATCAACATAAAGTGATTGGAGTCCATCTTTTATCTTTAATAGGCATTTGTCATGGGCTCTCAACAAATGCCAGGATTAAATTCAGGCTGGAGGTTTCATGGGAAATATGAGACCGATGGCCTTTTAAGTGATATGCCTGTGAGAACGGAATAGGTTGTGTAGTTTTAGCATTATCGAGGATTTACCATTAGAGGCAATATTTATGGTAACATTTGCTAATTTAATTAATTGCTACCGATGTTCTCATGATTCCATTTTCATTATGCTTCTGCGGAATCATAAACAAAAGGTTAAGTGGCACATCAAGTTAATTTACTGGCCTTTGATGTTTCCATCTGTGACCCTGCGTGCAACACGAAACATAAATAAGATGGCTCTCATCTGATTACGGTCCAGAAGCATCACCGTCTCCCACAGGCAACTGCATTTTTTTGTTTAGTTTTTGTGCTTCTTGAAAACCCACTTAACAGACCACTGCACTGACATGGATTCCTGGGTTCGTGTGTTATGAAAACAAAACAGCTCAGGAGAACACTGCCATCCTCAGAAGTGATCAGACAAGAGTGTAACTGAAAACAAAGGATTAAGCATTTCTATAACATTTATTAAAAAGAGATTTTATAAGATTTCTCATCCACAACTTCCTGCAGGCCAGGATGATTCTATTTTAGAGACAAAAATTCCTTCACAGTAATATTGCCACAGTCACTTTCTAAAATAGCTCACATGGTATTCAAAAAAGAATTGTTTACCACTATGCATTTGTTGGTATGTAGATTAACCTGTTGCACACCATTTGCAGGAGCAGCAGTTTAATATTGCCAGTGAAAACATCACACATTAGAAGGGCCACATTTCCCCTTGTCCTCAGGGTGTGTGTGCTACAGTGATACAAAGGAGCATTTCATACTGTAAACAAAGGAATCATTTTAAAAGCAAACTGCACGTACGATGCCTACATGGAATGCTGTTCTTGGAATCTATGAAATATACTGGGGCTCGACAATGGAGATAGCAACATTGAAACCCCTTGCAAAATGTATTGCTGCTTAGTTTTCCATGCAATTGCAATTTCAGGTAGTCTCAAATATGGCCATTTTAGTGCGCTTGCTAATAAAACTGGAAGCTCATTCCGTTTTTCCATTGGCACCTCTGCAAGCAAGCCCTGCAGCCTGGAGCATCCCCCAGATCTAGCCTCTGAGCCGGTTGGTGAATACAGGAGCTTGGAGGTTGCATGCTGAGGTGCAGGCCCTAAACTGTTTTGTTAGGATGACAAGTGGCTCGTTTCTAGGATGGTGGGTCAAGTTCTTTTTGGCCATTCACCTCTAATTATCCCACTACTCTGTAAATAGTTGTTGGTTGAATATTATTTGCATACCTAATAACTAATAAACAACCGTGTCAGTGCCTCCTGGTGGCCATTTTTTCTTTTTGTTCTATGTGTCCCGGGTGGAGTGTGGGGTGAGGTCCTTCACCTGTTTACAGGGGAAGGGGCAGACTTCCTTTCTTTTTCTCCCTTGCACATCTGGGACATCTATCTTTCACTTTTAAAAGACTTCTGACAATGAATGAAGCCTTTCGGAAGGAATCCCGCTTTGAGCATGTTTAGCAGAAGAAGCCCAGGTTATGGCTAAGAAGGCCTGAACTTCCTAGGGCGAGGGGACTGGAATCCCAAGAGCAAGGCTTAGGTCAAAGTCACTGCCCATAGTGAGGCCTCGCGACAACGGAGTCACAGGCGGTTCTCTGGACACAGCCCACAAGTCGGGCTCCGGGCCCCGTCCCAGGGGCTGCTCATTTGAGCGAACAGAAGATCCGATTACCCTTTAGGGCGTTATAAACATAATTTTCCTGCTCTAAGGAACCTAACGTGCGGTGCATTTCTCCGGCCAACAAACGGCCAGAGCAGAAGATTCGCAGACCCGAGGCCACTGGGGCAGCGCAGTCCTACTGGCAGGGCGAGGGGAAGGGCCAAAATCAAGGCTGCGCGTACACTAGAAGGCTGCTGGAGGTTGGAAAACTCACGCAGGTGCCCGGGAGGTCCACAGCCCCAGAGGTTGGATCTGGTGCCCTTGGGAACCCCCCCCCCCCGCCCCCGGCAGCGGTTGCGTGCGTGCGTCTTTCCCTCGTCAGCCAGTTAGTCGGGAGTTTTTTGTTTGGGTGCAAAACGTTCTAGGGCGCAAACCCGCAATCTCAACTTTTTCCTTTTGTTACCATCGCCTCTTTCAGCCTCCTCCCTCTGCTTCGAACTAAACAGGAGTATGAGTTTTGAGACTGACTCTTGAGTTTCCGGTCCTGGGACGCGCAGGGGCTGCAGGAGCTGGGAGCCTCGGCTCACACCTGCGCCACCGCGCCCTGAAAGCGCCCCTTTGAACTCGTTGCTTAGGGTGCCTTCCTTCCCTCTCGGGGTTGCGTCCAACTCCCTGAAGTTTCTTACCCTGGTTCGCCCATTCCGGGTTCATCACGACCACAAAGACCACCAAGTGCATCCCATTCCCGGGAATGCCTGGAAGCCACTCCTTACACTGCTGAGGAGCCCGCGGCCGTGGAAAGGCTTTCTGCTCCTGGACGCCCCCAGGGCTCCAGGTGGGCTGTGCGGGCGCCCGAGTTCCCACGAGGGTCAGGTTCCCAGGGGCGTGCACCGAGTGTGGGGCCCCAGATTGATGGAAACGCCCTCTCCAGGCGGCGGGGCGCCGGCCTCCGCCTACGACCCCCGCCTCTCCCAGCTGAGACAGCCGTGTCCCCAGCAGCCGTGGCTCCTCCAAGCCGGACAGCCGCGCGCTTCCATTTCCCGGGTCTCTACCTCTTCTCTGGCCTGCACCTTCCCGCGCTCTCTCCCCGCCCTCCCCGCCGCCCCGCTGCACTCACCTGGTTGTTTTTGCAGAGATCAGCCCACATGCTGGTGCCGTCCCCTCCGCGCATCAGAACGTGGTAGGTAAAGAAGTAGATGCCCGGGATGGAGCAGGTGAACTTGCCAGTAGTGGGGTCGTAGTGGTTTCCGAGGTTGGTGACCACGTCGTCGAACTTGAGCACCTCGTAGCCTTCGTGCTGCCGCTTGAGGCCGGCATAGAAGGCGATCTTGGGTACCGTGCTGTAGGTGGCGGCGCTGATGGCCCCGGCCGCATTCAGGCCGGGCGCCCCGGGCGGGCCCGGTAGGCCTTGGCGCCCTGGCTCCCCCTTCTCTCCCGGGGGCCCCACGGGGCCCGGTGGCCCCGGCTCTCCAGGGGGCCCACGCGGGCCCGCCTTCCCTGGTCTGCCGGCTTCGCCTTTGGGCCCCTGGATGAAGGTAGGCAGGGACTGCATGAGGCCGCGGTCGGGCGTGGCGGCCGTGCTGGGCGCCTTGGTGCCCCCGTAGGGGTCGCAGACCATGCGGCAGGTGCCCAGCATCTCGTAGTGCGCCGACGTGCCGGCCGAGCTCACCAGCACCGGGATGAGGATGACCAGCAACAGCACCATCACCACCCCCAGCGCCCCGGCGGCGATCAGGCGCCTCCTGCTGCCCACCAGCCGGCTCAGCGCGGGGCGATCCTCTTGTCTGCTTTTGGACAAAATTTTGAAGGTTGGGCGGGGACCTCCTCAGAGCCGAAAAACAACCCCCTGAGAACCCCAACTCCCCCGGGCGGGCGGCACGCGCCGGCCGCTCCTGGCCGGTTCCTGCTCCCCCGGCCCAGGCAGCGACTGGGGAGGGAGCTGGGGCGCCCAGCGACTTGAGCCCAAGTCCCGAGTTGGGGGTGGGGTGGGGGGAGGGGCGCGCTGGGCGCCCTCTCGCCTCCCGCGAGCCCCTTCGCACCTGTGGCTCCTCGGGCGCCGGCGCGGCCACCCGGAGGGCAGAGCCAGCCGCCGCCTCTCGAGCTGGTCCCGGCCGCTCACACTTTTATGCCGCCGCTGCCTGCGATCGACTTTCGCGTTTTTGCAGACTGCGCCAGTTCGCACCAACTTTCCGTCTGAAGTTGCCTTTTTCTGCCTCCTCCTTCTCTTCTTTCGCTCGCACTATTCGCCCGTCCTCTGCCTTCTTTTTTTTTCTCTCTCTCTCTCTCCCTCTCTCCCCTCCTCTTCCTTTCGTCTTCTGCCTCCTCTGCAGCCACCACAACTCTTAATCGAAGCTCACCTCCAAAGCCTCGCGATCTCGACCCGGAGCCCTCTCGGGTACCAGGAGTGGCGGTAGTGACGGACAAGGTGGGCTCGCTGAGGCCGCTCAGGCTGGAGCGGAGGAGCGAGCGAGCGAGCAGCGGCGAGCGCTTCACGGCCGGGAGCGGAGCGCGAGAGAGACTGAACGCAGAATTCTGCCTGGGTACCACCTGCCAGGAGAAGAGGAGGCTGACAAACGCGCGCCGGAGCAATTTATAGGCACCCAAGGCACAGAGGAAGGGGAGCCGCTTTGGCATCTCATTGCAGCATCTGCTCTGCTCATCCCACTCAGAGAGAGTTTGGCATTACTCTGACAATGTGGGATTTTTTTTTTTCGGCCTCCCCCCCCCCTCCACTTTCTGCACATGGATGAACAGTGAGATGCTGAATACTCCCTTGCTGAACCCAGGCAATGACAGCGCTCTCACTGGACAGACGTGGGGGAGGGAGAGAGCTGGACCACAGCTCCAGGACTCAAGGTCATGCCTCAGCCCTCAGTCTCCCCAGCTGCCGGCAGCTCCAGTCGGAGGTGGAGGTGACAGGTGAAAGGAGGATGGCTGATTTGACCATGTTTCTCTCCTGGCTCACCCATCATCCGTGCTTCAGGTGTTTGAGTATTTTTTTTCTTCCAAAATGCCACTTTTAACATAAGGAGAGCCCTTTAGAATATTCCACACGGTAGGTGTTATTTATTTAACCTTATGGTTTCCCACCATCAGCACCAGCCTTTCAAAGGAAGTCAGAGTACAGTGAGGTGTGTTGAAAAGCCAAAGGATGCTGCCGGTGGCTTTCATTGATTCTAAGTGGACATGAATGCCTCGTTCAGGGGGCAGGGTTGGTTCTTTGTGCAAATGCTGCACAGTGCAGGCTGTAAACACATAGGCTCTATTTACAGGCTTACGATGCTAGCAACCTTTCAGAACATACTGTCGTTGCACCTGACGCTGCATTGACTTAAAGATGCTACCCACATGAGGAATGATCACTTTGTCTCCCTACCTTCCAAAGTCTCAAGATAAAGCAAGCCACATTTCAGCAACTGCTGGGCAAAGTCCTTTTCTAAGATATAGGTAGAGTTCTATAAGCTCCAAAGTAGATTTCTCAAGTCTGTGTGGAGAGGGGAGGAAGAAATAGAAAAAAAAAAAATAGGACAAAGACACTCCATTGGCAACAGCAGAAGAGAAAACGAACAGCCTGATTTGTTGTGTTAACGGAAAGCCCCCAGAGAAGCTATGACATGAGTTACCCCACCAACACGTAGAGAACTGCTTTAAGTAAATAAGTAGAATTGATTCCCAAATGATACTTCTGCATTCGGGAGCAAATGGATGTCAGTCAAATGTGGGTGACATTTGCTTGTCAATACGGAGATGATGGCTAGGAAGACAGTGACTTATTACATCAGGGTGAGAATCTAAAATAAGAAGCATAATCAAATAAGACCATAGCAAGCAAACAGTAGCATCCCAGGTGATGGTCACTAGCCCATAAACTTGTCCATAGCCTCCCCAGCATGGACATATGCCCTGCTTCTCACCACACTGCCCACTCCACCCTGCCCTCCCCTAGTTACTTCTTTCTTTCCTTCTCCTCTGTTTCAAAATAAAATCAAGTCAAATGGGCTGATAGAAAGAAACAAAATGTATTACTTTCTTTCATGGAAATATCAACAGCTCTTCAGATCATTGCTGGGGTCAAGGCCAGGGAACTGGGCTTGTGGGTAGCATGACCCAGGCTCATGCATTATCTATCCATCTGCCTGCTCCTGGCACAAGAACATAGTCCTTCCCTCTTCTCAAATCTTTAACATTTATCTTATGGTGGTGATTTTATAAATAGTCATCTATATTTCACTCATAATTATACACATATTATTCATAGTTGTGTAATATTTTTGCCCACTCTAGCTACCTTGTTTCATATATTCAAGTCATAAGCACATAGTACACTCTTTGCAGACCATATGTTTACCTTCCGAGTTGCTTCTCAAAGGTGACCTTTGTTTTGCAAGATCATGCAGAGGTGTGTGGTGGCAGCACTGATGACTGAAATGAATGCTTCTCTCATACTCCAACTTCATAAGGCCTCTTGGTTGGTAAGAAGAGTTTAGTAGGGGCTAAAAAGGAAGCTTTCGTAGGGTAAGAGTATATAGCTAAATTTTCATCAAAAACCCCAAGATACATGGAGTTTTCCAACTGAAGAATGCACACCCTATGGAAGGGCGCACCAAGGACAATGTGAGATAATGGAGCCGGACCCTAGCAATGAGCAGTCACCTCATTGCTCTTGTAGAAGAGGAGGCTGAGAAAGAGAAGGAGAGAGAGAGAGAGAGAGTCACAAGTAGAGGCAGTCACAAGCAGAGGCAGGGCCATTTAATGACCTGGTCAGCACCCTCCGCTCTGCAATATGAAATCATGCAGTCCCAACCTACCATGGTTGATAACAGCTCCAGTAACTGAGTCTTCCCACCTTCCACTTTCTCTGATGCCATAGCACAAAGTCTTGGATTTTTACAAATGAATGCTCTTCACGTCCTAAAATTCCATTGTTGAGACACAGAGAGGCACCCAGTTGTCATTATTCATGATGGCTGACCCCAGACTGTTACATATGAGACCTGGGCAAGCAGGTGGGCACAGGGACCTGGGGTGCAGTCAGCTTACATGCCAGCTCTCCCTCTCTAGCAATGCTCCCCCATGCACCCTGGGAGAAATTGTTTTTCATTCCCCCTGTTTCTCAGGATGATTTGGTGGTGGATGAGCGTGTGGCTGGCTGCTGCCACTCTCTACTGCTTGGATTTCGCAGAAGGTTCTCAGGAAAGTTACTCACACTTCAGCTTGTGTTCTGACAGTTTGAATAAACCATCTGATCTGGCATATTACTCATCCTCCTTATATGTATATAATAATAGAAAATGTGTCAATTAAAAAAATATTTGATTTTCTTCATTCCTCATCAAAGAACCAAGTTTTCTCTCATTTTTGATATTAATCTTGAAAGGAGCCTTGGAATCTAAATTTCACAGAAACACCCAAGAAAACATGGAACTCCACATCTCCACCCTTTCTGCCTCTGGACCCTTGGGACCTTTCTGGTGATAAAGGCATGATAGGGGCTACGTGGCAATCTTGTGTTTTTCATCTTGTCTGCCTCACTTCTGTCTCTTGCAGCTGAGCAGATCCTAACTAAACACACAACTCCACAGAGACATGCAGGGCTGTCCATTAATCTTTGTGGAGCACCCACTGGCAGCCTAGCCCTACCCTGAGCTCTTAACAGGCAAACAAATATTTAGTCATGAGAATGATTTCCAAATCCAACAGCACTCACACAGAAATAGCATTTCTTATAACAAGGGGAAACAACGAACTGACAAAGACAAAGGCTATCTAGAGAAGCAGACATCAAATATATGGAAGATCGGGATGGGACCAGCTGTTTGTCTAGTTTCTGGGTCACCAAATTGAGTAACAGAATATATAAGGAATCTTCATAAAGTTCCTGGAAATGCATAGCACAAAAGCGCTATGACTGGATTTCAAAAAAATTTTTGCCTTCCATTAAACTTATTCTTAATTTTTTTGTTGTTATTTTCATTTACAGGAAAGGCTAAGATAAACAGATAGGTATTTTCTATCCCTGATTCTCTCCCCCAAATGCCCACAATAGTCAGGTATAAGACAAGCTGAAAACAGGAGCAACAGAACTCAGTCTGGGTCTGTCATGTACGTGGCAAGGACCAAAATGCTTGAGCCATAACCATCCACTGCCTTCTAGGGTGTGCATCAGGAGGAAAGTGGAGAGAAAGTGGAGACGGGGCAGGAAGTGCAGCCCTGCTGACACTGGATAGGGGGCATCTCCAGAGACATCTTACACAGTGCATCCAACCCCTCACCAAATTGACTTTTACATTGCATTTTCTCATGAAATTTTTGAAGTACCCCCCATATACCCTTTTAATTGAAAGATTCTAGATTTCCAGCCAGGAAGGGTCTTCGTGGAGTGAGACAGAGAAAAAATGGCTGTGATTTCTAATGGCTTTGAAATCACAGGGGTCTTAAGTTGAATCCCAGCTTCCTCGTGTAGTAGCTGTGGAAGTTCCTTAATCTCCTTGAGACTCAATTGTCTCTTATGTCAAACCAGAATGATTTTAATACCTAAATCACAGTGTTGCATAGAAGATTAAATGTGTTCATACATGTAATTATGTTCACCCAACTCATGAGAACCCAGTAAGTGGTAGCTTTCATCTTCATATATTGTAGGATCACTGGGTAGTTTATATGTTTATAAATTGGATTGTAGAACACAGGGCTTAGTGAAAGAAGATAACATTAAAAGGTTAGACTTAAGACAAATGGCATAGACTGGGCAATAAATGTTACAGATTGAGTTTCCTAAAAACCTTGTTCTATTAGCTAAAGCAAAGACTACAACAAGGGTCGCTTTATGCTCCTCTGAAGTGAAAGAATGAAGTTTCAAATCACAGTCACTTCAACTTATTATAGATTTATAGACTATGTTTTCAGATTTTGAGCCTAGTAGCATGTTTCAATGTGCTTACTGTCCTCTGGAAAGTTTCCAAGCCAAAAGTTCCAAGCATATTTTTAAACGGTTGAGACATTTATTCAAGAATTGTTTTTTGTGAGTGATGATTCTTGAAGAAACAAATGTAGTCAAGAGGGCTGCTTTGTACATCAGCTAGGAGAGTGGCCATTATGAAGGACACAAGTCATCGCTGAACTGGGAAGGGAGTTCTCAACATAAAACTCTCCATAGAATTCAGTGAATTGGGAAGTTGGCACAGTAAACCTACTCAGAAAGATGATTAACTAGCCAAATGGAGATGTTACAGAAGACTGAATTACAGTGTATAGCTTTAGCCAGTCTCAAATTCCAGCTATATCCATTGATGCAAAAATAAAATCAATAGAATTGAAAGTCAGACATTCCATATGCAGAATGTTCGATTCCTATGTCTAATGTATGGCTGGAAAGGAAGTTATATCTTTTTTTAAAAACAAAAAGGGAATCTGAGAGGTCAGCAAATTTAAGCCACCATCATGACAATTTAGTGGTACACAGAAAATAGACAGACTCACAAAATTTACAGCAGGGGCCAGCAGAGAACAGGTGGCCACATGGGATTCCCATATTCCACACTGGGGATATCTCATTTGCATCATAG